TTCCTCCCATTTTGCTCCCATTTTGGTGTCAGTTGCTGACAAGGGCTCATTTCCTTGGGAAGTCAGGATACTCAATTCTGGAGCTGTTCTCAAGCCGGTGGGGGTGCAGTTGGGGACATGGGTATTTTTTTATACAACACTGACAATTTACACAACACTTTTGCATACTGCACATCAGTCCCTGCCCTCGAGGAGCTTACAATCTAAGGTCCCTATTGAACACACATACACAGCCAACTTAAGCTGGCCATACACCTATAGATTATTTGCAGACTTTCTATGGTCCATTGAAAAAAGTGCAACAGATTCCTCCATCTACGCTAAACTGTGTGGATGGAGGAATCTCCCACTGGGCTAAGCTTCAGTATCTTGCTAGCCGGCCTCGCTGCCGGTCAAAATACCTGAACAATCTGATTGGATGCAGGCATTGTTCAGGTATTTTGAGAGCCAGCGGTAATTGTAATAGCTTTTTTATGTGTTTTTTGTTTGTGGCACTTTAAAGAAATACTGTCCTGCTTAGCAGATGTATGAAATAACCCTGATGGATGGACTCTAGACAGAAGAGTCATTAAAGGCTCTGTTCCCTTTTTCAATTACTTATTTTAACTTCCTACAGCAGGGCTGTTACTACTTGACCTACAAATTACTGACAGTAACTTCCTCTACTCCCAATACACGAAGAACACTTAAAGGACCAGTGCTCATCAGCTATGAATTGCTTCCTAGAGATTATTTTTATAACAGTAAAAAAGAATGATGTGAATGTTTCAGCTTTCAACTTCAAATGTTGTAGTTAATTGTGATAACATGTTAGATCAATAAAAGCAGAGCTCACATTTTTAAGGGTTTAAAAAGAAAGATATGTTACATTATCTGTCAACTTTTATTGTTGTCTGCGTGACTTTGTTGGGGAGATTTACTTGAAAAAGAGAAGTGGATTGGTTACTATGGGCAACTGCCCCAGATTCTTTCTGCTCCAGTTTCGATAATTCCCCCCTCTGTATTCTTTTCACGGAATACAAGGCGTTCTGTGAAAGGAGGAAGGGAAATCCGGTCACTCACCCCTCCCTTGTCCATTCATATAACTCCTTGCATTCTGTAAAAATAATATAAGACTTTTATGAATAGGCAAAGGGGAGAGGAAATGGAGGGAGAACATCAGGAGTCCTTTATAGTTACTGCCGCTGCTCTTAATCTACACAGAGCACAAGGAAAATGCTGTGAGAAGTATCTTCACTAAAAGGAGGATTTTTAATGTACCCAGGAGCCACTCAGACATGGGATACACTTCATTAAAGATAATTATGTGACTGGTGCTGTATGCCTAACTAAATGTTTTACTAAACTTCAAGCAGAACTCTGGGAAAATAAAATCTTAACCCTTGCAGTAGGGCTTTCCCCACACTGCAAGGGTTAAGTGCTCATTTTGTCTATGAGCTAAAAATAGGAGCTAAAATAACAAAGTTATACTCACACGAACCACAATCCCAGCTGGCTGTTAGACCATTCCCTGCAGCCTGTCTCCTTCTCCTCTCCAGCGATCGTATGCCTCTTGGCATCCCCACATTCTATACACTGTATTAGATGTGATGACTCACGGGTCATTAGAGCGTTGGAGTGGAAGAGGAAACAGGCTGAAGGGACCAGTCTAACAGCCAGTTACGCTTTGGGTTAATTTGAGTGTTATTTTAGTTCCCTAGACAAAAGGAGCATGCAACCCTTGCCTGAAGTTTTGCTTTCAGCTTTAAGATTACAACAGGAATGTGGCTTGTCAAAGAGAATTCAGTCAGCAGCCTGTACAAATCTGAACAAATTAAGGGTGGGGTTTAAAAACGTATTTAATTGCCAAAAGGAATGCAAATGTGTGTTCATATTTTGAGATATTGACAATGAATTTAAAGGAACGTCATTCAAAACACACACAATATACTGTGTATATACTTAGTTTGGATAGAGTGGCGAGGGATTAAAATTGCTGTCTGTGAACCTGCTTGAGAGATTCACTCAGTCTGTTTGTCCGGGTGACCACTGTCACCAGGACTGAAAGTGAAGGAAATTCAAACATATAGGAATAGAAAATCTTCCAATGAGGCAATTTTACTTAATTTACAGGAATTTGCTCTAAATTTATTTTACTTCTGTAGGACAAGAAGTAAAGGGGAACCTCTACAATAGGACACAGGTGGCAAAAAACTGTCTGCCTGCCGAAAACTAAAGGAGGGGGTGGAGAAAAGACCAGTCACCCTGCACAAGACGGGAGATCAGCAGTGACTGGTCTTTAGTATGGAAAACTGCACAGAGCAAAGTGTTGGAGTTGTTTTATGCTGGGTGACTGTACAGACCTGGAAGAAATACACAAATGAAACCAAGAATGTCCATGGCTCTTGTATTTACACATTATTTACCCCTTCCCAACCGATGACGGGATTATTCTGTCATGATCATTCAATTTGTTAACAACCGGTGACGGGATAATCCCATAATTCGGTACAATGAGCGCTGGTCCGTGAAGGGATCAGCGCATATTGAATTACTGCTGTTGGTCAGTTCCTCAGAGTTTGAGGCAGACCCTCAACAGCAGATTTGGTTTTCACAGTCCTGTGATCACAGTGAGAGCTAATCACTGTGATCGCAGAGCCGTGACAGTCAGAGACGGCAGCAGCTCACTGTGTTTTGTAAACAGCTTGCCGACTGTGTGTTACAAACGTGATACAAAGTATCTGAGGAGAATACTGTATTCTACCCAGAGATACTAAGTATCAAAGTCCCTGAAAATAAAAAAAATAACCTCTTAGTGCCCCCTAGTTTAAAAATAATGTAAAATAAAAAAAGTTAACATTTTAAAAAAGGGAACAAAGTTTTAAAAAGTCAAAAAAGTTTTTAAAAATTACATTAAATAAAAAAATTATAAGAAAATATAGTGCCGAGGAGGCTATTAAAGATAGACAAGCATACCACATTCTAAAAATTTTACATTTTAAAAAGTGTATTTCGCTCATATAACTCCAAAAATAATCTGAAATCCCAGACATATGATATACCCTAAAAATCAGGACAAATAAAATAATTTATTATGAAATACTTTCTGTTAGCTACACTAATTATGTACACATTATTAGTGCCCAAACTGTGGAAAAAAAATTCATTTTGTTTATAAAAAAATAAGAATTTTATGTGCATATGTCACATCAAATTAAAGCCCATTTTGTCCCTTAAAAAACGGTATATAATATGTGTAGGTGCAATGAATGAGGAAGATGGAAATTATGGTTAAACAAACACACAGCACAAATGGCAAAATTGCTCCGTTCCCTAGAAGCGACATTTTTTTCTGTCACTAAGGGGTCCATTTATCCTGACGTTTTAACCATTCCCTACTCAAATATGAAAAAAAAAACTGGCTTCCAATATACTGTGTTGTGGGTGCATCACAACCTCCATTTAAAATATAAGTGAAGGAAACTTTCCCGAGTTAGATGTCAAGCTGTTTCTCTTATGACAAACAATGTCACCATTGTGGATTTTTCTTTTCTTTTAGGTTTACTGACCATGTCATGTACACTTCCAGGCAACAAGTGAGCTAATGCTTGCAAAGAAACAATGAATCTCTGTTTAAGTCAGAAAGTGCTCTTAATTCACATTTCAGAGAGCTCCTCACATGTGAGCTGGGTGGTCTGGGTCTTGAGTTGTTAATACTTACTAGTTTCTAATACTTAGCTTTTCTGACGTGATATCTGTACATAACACCAAAAAGATGAACAACTGAGGAGTAAAGAGGGACAAGGAATTTGGTTCCAAATGAGGGACAGTTCCTCCAAATATCCCTCCAAATCATGGACAGTTGGGAGGTATGAAGAAGACTTTAAAACAGGGCTAGGCAAACTCTGGCCCTCCAGCTGTGGTGCAACTACAGGTTTGCAAAACTCTGAAAGCTACAGGTTTGACTCCCAGAGGCAGATGCATGACGGGATTTGTAGTTTGCCCACACCTGGAGGGCCGGAGTTTGCCTAGCCCCTGCTCTATAAGATAGGCATATGAAACAAATTCCTCCAAATGTAGATAAGCAGTCTTGCAAAAATGTAAGCGTCACATCATACATTTATTTTAGGTGATTAGTAAAAAGGCGCAATAATAATAATTATTATTATTATACAGGATTTATGTAGCGCCAACAGTTTGCTCAGTGCTTTACTATAAGGAAGACATTACAATCACAATACAATTCAAGACAAGATGGTAAGAAGGGCCCTGCCCTTGAGGGCTTACAATCTAAAAGTATAATAAATAGTATAATAATAATAATAATAATATAAAAAATAATAATAATAAAAAAAATCAAAATGAGCTCTGTAGTTTCCCATAAAATATAACCTTAAACAAAAGAAAAGCTCATTCATTTCATGACAGCGTAATGCCTCTGGTAGAGTTAAAAAGAGAGGGAGCACACTAGGACCCTGGAGTGTCCCGGGCTGACTTTTAAAAGCTTTCCTTTTGGATTGGAGGAACTGGGAGGGACCAGCATCCCGAGCTCTCCTTAAACCTGCCAGAGCTGGTCATATCCAAACAGATGCTACAAACTACTAATTTACTTGGACACCTCTCTCTCTTGTCTAGAGAGAGTCTCTCCCTCTTTCTTTTTCTTCCCTGTCTGAGCGTCCAGATAAGTTCAGGGAAAAATTCCAAAGTTCTGCCTGGCTTGCTTACAAATGCTCCACAGGGCTGGCAGATGTAACTAAGTCTTAAAAGGTTTTCTAACTGCTGTTAAAGCCCGAGGATACGTAGCTGGGATGGACTGGTGGATTTTAGATTAAAGTCTTCTGAATTAAAATAAAAAGCACTGACATTCCAAAAGAGATCGAATGGATTCCTCAGCATCTTTACAAGATTACTGACTTCTGCCTTGTTTCATTTCGGAAAGTCAGGACGACAAAGTTTGTTTTCAGTGAAGTTTTTCTAACTTTCGAGGAAAAGCAGAGATTAAGCTAAAGGCTGGAGTTCATCTTTTTCTCTTGGCTGGGTTGGAGCCTCTGAAGGGACAGACTGTGTGACTTTGAGATCTGAGAAGTCCCTATAGGCACATGTTGCTGGAAGGGTTCCAACAAGGGTTGAGGAGAGATGACCACCCCCTGACTTCTGCATGTTGCTGCTAAGACTTTATTCTGCGAAATCCAAACTGGATGGAGAGTTGGGGTTTTCTTTTCAGGGAAATTGATGTTCTGATGCCAGGACACTAGCCGGCTGACGAGAGCTTTGCCAACCTGTGTGACAGCCCGGTGGCTAGAGTGTGGATATGGCAGTCCAAACCTTAACAGGATTTTCTCTAGTAAGCCTGCTGAGCATTGGTTATATGTCCTGGGATTGGATGAAGCCAGCAGTACTTGGAGACAGCCCCGGTGATGCTCCAGCTAAACTTCAGGCACCTCTTTCTCTCAGGCCCCCGCACATCATCTTCATCCTTACTGACGACCAGGGGTACCACGATATAGGGTACCACGGATCGGACATACAAACTCCAACTCTGGATCGCCTTGCTGCCGAGGGAGTCAAGCTAGAGAATTATTATGTACAGCCCATATGTACGCCTTCACGCAGTCAGCTTATCACTGGCAGGTAAGTAGACATTCTCTTCTATGGAAATGAGGGATGACTTTGACCTGTTCTAAGTGTTTCAAGCACACTCTATTGTCTGGTTTCTTTTTATTATTTTACTTTGTCTTTTTTAATGCACTAGTGATTTGTGAACAGGGTTGGTTTAGCGAGGACTCGAGCTGTTGTCCAGAACAAGCAATGCAGTCACTTACTGAAGTGGACACAAGCCGTGGAGTTAGGTTTTACCTTAATAGGCTGAAGAAAGACCAGCCATGGTAGCAAATTTATCAATCACTTACCTCAAAACTGTAAAAACCTGCTCCTGTGGTGCTTCGGTTCTAAGTCACATGACCTAAACAAGCATGCTAGGTCATGTGACCTGCAGCATCTCTGCATGGTGAGTACTGATGTCAGCAGTGTCTTCCTGCACTTTCACTAAAGACTCTGCTGATGTCATAGCATGGCACTGCAGCTCCAGGACATGAAACCTGAAACAGGAGTCCTGCGGGACCTGTTGTTTTACAGCTCAGGGGTAAATATAAAATCCCCCTTTTATTTTGCACATTACGGAATGAATACTAAAATTGGATTGGCTGCTATGGGCTACAAAAAGTACAAAGTTCAAATTTTGCATACATAGGACACAGGAACATCACAACATTTTAAAAATCAATACATTTTACATGTGTCATTTGTGACCATCTTAATCAAAAGCTACATTTTCACTTAACATTTAATTTCACAAAGTTTCTTCATTCAAATGGGGCTCATTGCCAGTGACGCCAATACAGGTGTATGGTCATACGCTATAAAATATGCCTGTTTTGTTGCGGCACCTGGGAGCCCCAGCTTTTGTGTATTTATTAGGATAGTATGGACAGAATACGCTGTATCCGCAGGGCTGTCCCTATGGAATTTGCCGCCCGTTACGATGTTGTACCGGTGGGCGGGGGAGGCGGCGGAGGACGTCGGGCTGCGTAGAAAACGGCTCAGTCTGGCATCCCACTCAGCTCACTAATGCTACTGTTTTCCAGGAGCTTGGCGGGATGCAAGCCACAGCGTCCCGCTCAGCTCTTGGCAACCGGTGACGTCAGTGAGCTGGACAGGACGCCAGACAGAGCGTTACAGGTTGCTAGGATCTCTGAGCAACCTGGAACGCTGTAGCTGCCCCAACTGCCTCATTATAAGGACGGCCGTGTATGTAGGTATATACGTGTAAACACAAGTACCAGCATTTACACATGCATGTGTACAGGCATAAGTTTCTGATTGCGAAACTTCTGCGTTTTGGAACCTGAATGTAAACAAATCATATGGACAAAAAAGCGCAGCAGCTGGTGCTCCAGGGTGCCACAAATAGGTATATTTTACACTGTGTGCCCACGTACCTGTATTTGTCCCCGTGTGAATGAGCCCTAAAAGCACACATGCTATGCATTTATAATATCAATGCAGCATACGTCAATGTGGTTTTATAACTATGTGGCATTTTCAAACAATGTGGTTTGCTTAAGTGTGTGCATATGAAAAGCCCCACAAGAAAGAAGTGAAAATAAACGAGACAAAGGGGCTTTGTCTCTCTTCCCGAGTATCCAATGTTCAGGCGAAGCGCACAGGTGTGACTGGGTCTTTTTTTGATGCTTAGAATGGATGAATGCTGGGGATGAATGAAGCTTTAAAAAGAAATAATTCCATGAATAATTAGTGTGCACACAGATTGTATAGTTGATGGCTTTCGAATGTTGTAGCTGGTAAGGAAATGAGTAGTTAAAAATAAATGTCCATCCCAAAAACAATACTCCTGCTATTGCCAAAGGGTCATTGTGTGCATTAGGATCTTTAGGATCTGCTGGAGCTTGCTTGTAACTTATAAAACTTTGCAAAACCAATGCTGATGCCCTGATTGTTTTGATGCAAATGTGTCCCTTATTCACATAGAAACACAATATGGTAGATCTCAGTGCCATGAACCATACGCGGTATATTTGGGTGTGGGACTTTAGGTACTAAAAACAAACATGAATTTCACATTAAGCACCCTTATCCCCCAACTAGCATCCATCCCTAAAGCTGCCCATACACCTTACGAATATCAGACGATTTTCGTATTCGATCACGTTTTCGTCCGATATTCGTAAGGTTGATGGGCAATGTACAACTGCAAATACTGTACAATCGATCGACTTTCGACTAACCAGCAGGTTAGAAAACTTCGGTCGATCGTACAATTTTCGCAAGGTTAGTGGCGTTTCCATACGTCAAAATTCGTACGATTTACACTGCACATGCGCAGACGAAAATACGTGCGATCGATTACCGCAATTCATTCAGGTGCTTCCTTCTAATTACAGCTGATTCAACCTTGCGATAATCGGGGCAGGATGGGCCCGCCGTACGAAAATCATACGACGGTTCGATCAACGGACCAAAAGTGTCGTCCGATGATAGCAAGGTGTATGGGCTGCCTAACATTTACAGGGTTATTCACAAAAGGGTGAAGAGTTTGGAGAAGGCAGGAGAAGTGAACAATCTAGGACAACATAGCTGAACTGGAAAGTGAGCTGAATTGAGAAGTTGTCCAAATCAGCTATGTTGTCCTAGATTGTTCACTTCTCCTGCCTTCTCCAAACTCTTCACCCTTTTGTGAATAGCCCTGTTACTATTAGCATAACATTTTCCCTGTCCCTCTCCATAGTACTTCTCCATTCTCTCAAGTGTCCACAGGCATTGTGTCATGCGTTAACATGCGTTGTGTTAAGGCAGCCTATTCATTTTAAATGGGATGCCATGCACAGGAACAGACATGCAGCATTTTCTGGATGCAGAGGACCACAACACACCGTACTGCCTTACCAAACATTGTGTTGCACTACAACACATTTTTGTTGAAGCTGCATTGCTGTAATGTGTTATGATTCCCTTCAAAACATAATGCGCGTTGTGGCATTGTATGTTAATGTGCGGGTTATTGCAACGCACCGCATCACAAATATTTCAGCCCTAAAGGAAAAGTTAAAGTTTATGTAAACCCTAACTATGAACGTGTCTTATTGGCCCACCTTTGGTCTGGTAAATATTTTATAGATAGATAGATTTTATGGATCCCAAACAGACCTGAGCCTCGTTATTCTAGCCTCCAAATTAAAGTACTAAAAATCTGGGATCCGTAGAGCACCTCTGATAGAGAAGTAGACCCTAAATGAAGGACTTACATGTCTAGTGAAAAGTGACTTGGCATTGGCCAGAAGCAGACTTCCTAGAGGGTCATTTGCAGGGGGACTAAAGTTACTGAATATGTAAACAAGAGATCATTTGTGTAGCCAGAAGTTCTTGCCAGCAAAGAAGCTGTCTTGGCTCCCATCCTATTTGACATTAACCCGTGTGATGAGAAAAAGCAGCATGCCAGAAATATAACGGGCAGTGTGTTTCAGATGTCTGCACAAAGTGGGCTTTTCACCTCAAGCAAACAGGTCGTTTAGGGGTTAAGCAATGTAAAAAAAAGAAAAATAGAGATTGCTGTGTTCTTGCCATTCATAAGGACCATTTTGCCTTCAGGTGTAGAGTTTCTGTAGATCTCCCGGTGGAATGAACTTCCTGCTGCTAAGAATGATAGGATGTATCTATCTGAAACTTGTCTGTGCAATGTCAAGCACAGGGGGGATGAAACAGCTCACATATACATCTAAATACAGCATGGAACAAAGGTATTTGTCCTTGCTCAATGGAGAGTAGTAGGGTAGAAAGCTGAAAGAAAGCCATTGCATCTTATGGCCAATGGGGCAATATGAGATGGGTAAGTGAAGAACATATTTAAATATCAAAGGTGACCACTTATCTTTTTACAGCACAGGTAATTGTCTGAGATTGTTTTAACTCTTAGGCCTTGTTCACACCGAAAGCTATGCGTTCCAGAGCGGTAGCTGGCGTGCAAGCGGTGCCATTGAATTCAATGCACCGCCACGCCCCCTCCTGCCCCAGAACGCAGGGAGAAGATCGCAGTGGGTTCCAGCACCACTTTCAGTTTAAACAAGCCCTTAAAGCGGAAGTGTATCTGTATCCCATCTCCTGCATGCTGCTGGTTCTTGCAAGAATCCTCCCTTCATGCCGCCTCCATAGCCACTGGATATAGCCCTGAGCGGCTATCTTCCAGTACTGTATGGGTAACAGCAATGTGAAGAGTTGCGCAGGCGCTCACCTTCCCTACATGCCCCCTCTTCAAAGAACTTGTACTACTATTCTCCCACAATGCATTGCACTCTGTGAATAGGCATTGAAGATCCTGTCATTTATCCACTCCTCCTCCATTCCCTGAAAACACACTGGGGGGAATTTATCAAAACTGGAGCTGAAGAATCTGGAGCAGGTGCTTATGGCAACCTATCAGCTTCTCTCTTTAGTTTGTTCAGTTACGGTTTGCAAATGAAAGAGAGAAGCTGATTGGTTGCCATGCACAGCTGCTCCAGATTTTGTCTGCTCTAGTTTTGATAAATTCCCCTCACTATACTTTATCATGATTTGTCCATTGGATGAGCATATTGGGTAAAATGATGATTCTGTAAATATTGCCATCTGTAAGAAATCCATATGAAACCAGACTTAAACTCCAATTCCAGTCTTCACTCTACCCCCTAGTCCTTCCCTGGATGTCTATTTGTCATAATGTTTAGCAGGAGTATAGTATTGTACCATGGTAGAAGGTCTCCTGGCCAGTCCTTTGATGTGCAGGGTCCTCTTTCTACTATCATTTTGTCCAGTAATAAGGGGGTCTCAGTTATGCAGATCTTACTGTAAAGGCCTCTCTGGTTCTGGCCATCCTGCCTATTGACCTTCGCTATTAGTCAGTGAGGCCATCAATGGCATGATATGTTCAACAGTGTGGTGAGGTAGGAGGAAGGGTAGTGGTATCCATCTCAACTCTTTGGCTTCATTAACACTATGCAATTTGGGATTCCTGCAGCAGGAACCTATGGATTCCTGCAGCAGGAATCCTGAATGTCTCTAGCTGTAGACACCGTCACCCG